AGTAGCTGATCAACCACTCCCATTTTAACAGCTACAGTGTGAAAAATGTCACTACCTAAGAGCATGTGGTCATGTCAAAGCTGAACTACTTTTCCGCATGGATTACATCCTTTGATAATCTCCCAAGACTGAATCTCTTAGTTACTTCTTTGTCCTTTACCCAAACTAAATCTTTAATTTTGTTATATTTCTTCTACCTAGCCCTTTCTCTTTACCATTTTTCTTCTTTACTATTATTTCATTTTTAAAGTCTAGGTTTTTATAGCACAACTGTCCATCCTATGAACTGAATATTTAATTCTGTAGGTATTTTAGTTTTGTCTGGTTGGGAGTGTTGCATGCTCATGAAATTAACTGCAACCATCTTCTTTCTAAGAGACACCTGGATATGCAGGGTACCCTGTAGAGGAAATCTATGCTATTAGGGTTCCCAACTTGGTGAAATAACAATTTTACAGAAAAGTTCATTGACCTTCAAGTCCTTGCCCAAACTCTTCCCCCAGATCTGATGAGATCTGTCTGGATGTGAACCCTTCAAATCTTTTTCTTCAAAGGGTGAAACCTAACTTCAAGATAATTTAGCAGCTTATCCTGTATTCCTCTCAAAAGGTTGTTCGAGCTTTGTAAAACTTTCCTCACTATAAACATTATAAATGAACACAAACTATTGTTGATTTAAACTGAAAAACCCATCTGTGCATGTGGCCAACAATCTATCATCTTGCACTACCAATGCTTTGAGTATTACTATTAACAGTTCTGCAGTTTAATTGCATTGTGCTGAGGACCAGATAAAGAACATTTCACATTACATGCAACGTGTTATGTTTACTGCACTGTATCTGCTTTGGGCAAAATTCTGCCTCAGTGGACAGAATAAAACCGACAGAGCTACAAAAATCATGACACCATTCAAATACCCATCTGTGTCCCATTATTACTCCTGCTGCATTCCTGCATCAAGGTACAAAAATATCAATACAGGTTTTATTCCATCACCATAGGCAATAGAAATATTAAATGCGTGTTACAAAAGAAAAAAAAAAAGGTGTCTACCTTTCTACCTCAACCTAGTTCTGTCTTAGCTTCTGTTCACAACAAGCTGAAGGACACCAGCTTCTCCGGCAAAGCTTCCAGAGGAGACCTATCTGCCTGCCTGTTCTTCACCTTTTTGGGTTTTTTTTGTGGTTTTTTTTTTTTTTTTTTTTTTTTTTTTTTTTTTTTTTTAAAAAACACATATTAGCTTTGAAAA